TAACCCCAGGACAACAATAGCTTTTGAATGATAAAAAAAAATTCCGTCAAAAATGGCTAGTTAAAAAGTCGAAACTTGTCTGAAGAAAAAAAAACCCACCCCGAGCACAAATATTCCGTTACTTTCGTATCGAAAGTCGGAACAATAAACACCAAAAGTAGAAGCTTTTGTTTCAAAAACAAAACTGACTTTCAACTCATTTAAATCTTCTAATTAAAAAATGAACATTAGAAAAACACAAAGCACATTTTCAAACACTTGGTCAAACTTGTTATTTTGCAGGAAATCAGCTATTTAGCCGGTGAACCTATGCAGTCGACAAATCAACGCAAATATCAGCGCAAACAGAGTCGTCGTCGGTCAATTAAGAACTCGAAGCCGTGAATAGTTCTATATTTTAGCGCGAATACATTTTATGTAAATCCGCACAAAAACGACCCATTCGAGTTTTAGTTTGCCTAATTGAATGGTCAACAGCCAAGAAACACATTACAACCAGTGATGGACAATTTCATCATACAAGTAAAAAAGTTGTAGAAAAAAGTAATTTATATCATTATACTATTGCCCCATTTAATCGAGTTGCGTTTTTCTAAAAAAAAACGCCAATAAATGGTGTCATGGAATGGTGCATTCAAACAACCACATTTTGAAAACTCTTGGGGATGATCGAAACCAAATGAACCATCCACATGCACAGTATCAAAAAATCAGGCTTTCAGTCACACAATCTGATGAACATGTTCATGATCACGATCGAAGGAAAATCAAATTAAAAATCACACTCATCGGATCACTTGCCAACAAGACTCTCTGTCAAATTTTGCGGTGGCACTAATCAAATGCTTTTAGTATTAAACTGCTGGCTGTAAAGTGGCAGTAATGGACCTGCAAAATTTTTTTGTTGAAAGATATTTTGTATATGTCTAAACCAATCGAAGGTTGGCTGCCCTTTTTGACTAAATTTTGGCCGTCCAAAGTTTGTCTTTCAAAGCAGATTTTTATTCTACGGCTTTGCTCATGCAAATGGAAAAAAATCTGAATTTCTGCTCCTGAGGTGAAATAAATGCGCTGTGCATAAAAACCGTCAAAACAACATCGTGGAAATATTTCCAGCTGTTTTGAAAGACAAGCATGTTTACTTAAACAGTAACATGAGCGGTTTGAAAGACAAGCTTATTTACTGAAGCAGTAAAATGTGCAGCAATTGTTCCTGAGAACTTCAGCGGTAAAAGATTATGAACTTGAGACTCGTAACCAATCTTCTATTGGCAGAAAACAAAACTCCTAAAAGGTTTCTCAAAAGAAAAGGACAAAAATATGCATTAGTCTTCCAACAAATACAACAACTGTTTGTACGACGGTTTTAACCCGCGCATCCCAAATTACCAAAATTAAGCCTTAGTTAAAATATACGACGTGGTAAAACAGCAAAAGTTTTGCATGAATTGTCCTGACATTCAGTAAACCAATGCGCCTCCAAAAACTAGTGTGACTTATGTAAAGGGTTCTTTTTTACTTCTTGATGACCCATCACTTTAACCAAATCGTAACAGCGCACAATTTACAACAATCTACGCAAAAAAAGACCAAACAGAACAAAGAAATTATAACCACAACCTTCAGCTGGAAGGGTATGTCGCACAGGATTGACAAAACATGCATTATCAACATAAAAGAATACTTTGAAAACGAACAACATACAAGTTCTCGGCAAACAAGCGTCGGGATTTATATTTTACGTAAGAATCTGAACAATGAATCTGAAAAAACTGAAGAAATAAATTTGAAATGAGTAAAAAATTAACTGCATAGTGAAAACAAAATAGCGGGCTTCCTAACACTAGAAAACACAATAACACACGCAGGGGAGTGAGATGAAGATGGTTTACCGTAGAAAAGTGCGACACAGCTGAGTAAAACCTTCTACATAGCGCCTAAGAAGTTAGAACTACTGGATCGCTGCCCATATAAAGACAATGTTCTACGAAGCTTTTACGGGGAGACCCAGTGATTACCTCGCTCGATAATAGCATGCTCAACCGTTGGTAATAAAACAAAAAAAATCCTCAGGTGTTTGGTATTTACCACATCAATCGGTACCACACCCAGGTAAACTCGAAAAAAAATAGACAAGAAGCCCGGGCCGCGTTTTTTTGAAAAAATAATCGATGAATAAAGACCTCATGAGAAACCATGCTTGACTTAAAGTTCTAAAAGCAATTTAATTGAGCTACTGCAATTTTAAGTTTGCCTTTTCCTGATATTGGAGAGAAGTTCATAAATGAAATTTTTCGTGAAGAAGATAAATCAACCATGCTTTTACTGTGAAATCTTATGGCACAAATCAATAACTTTGATAACACGCAGTAAACATTTTGTGCCAACTTTTCCCCATTTTTCACAATGAACTCATTAAAAAGTTGTGATTTAGAGAACAAAAGTTCAATTGCTCTGGCCTGTAACGCAGTTTTGAACAATTCCTATAATGAGGACTAAATCGCTCAAGTACCGTTTACAGATTAAGCACAACCAGGTTTAGCAGACTGGGCATTATAATAAAGTTTTAGTCGATCACAAAATTGTTCTACATTGGTTAATGATTTAAGTCAACAAAAAGTTTTCCAGCTTAGCATTGTTTTTTTACCCATTAAACATTCAGCACTGGTTAACTATTCGTTTGAAGGCTCTATAGCATCAGATAGAAAATTGGTTTTGAAATGGGATGATCAGATACTAAATGATCAAAAGCATAATTTATAGGATATCTTTATATCTTTAACAGTTTTATTGAACTGTAACGAATATTTTAGCAAGGACATTAATTGAATGTAAAATGTTGATAAAAATTAAGGTTGCGCCTATTGATAGCATTTGAGCGTAACCCAACTTGAAATAAAGGCTGCAACAATCGGAGCACGCTTTTTTGCAGTGAAAGTACCTCATCTCAACAGACCTTTTTAATTTACCTGGACAAGCAGTCAGGCAGTATTTGACTGAGAAAAGTAAACGAAAGAAGAGAAGATTTTTGTTGCAACTAGATTGACTGAGATCTCAACAATGGATCACATCAACCACATTGTCAACACCCTTGGCGTTCGTAAAACGCCCTAAGAATATGTGAAAGAATAAAAGTAGGCTGCGTGTTTTTGAAAGAGATGAAAAAAGAAAAAGATGTCTCTGATTGGGCCAAATTTTGATGTGAAACGGTTTTATGATAAAACTTATCTAAACTTCAGTTCCAATTTGAAATACAAGATTCTCAAAAACAGAGGCAACCTAAACTCAACCTTAATTGATAAAAAATGTAAGCGAAAAGCAACACCACTGTCTGTTAAAAGAAACCAAAATCATTTTCAGGGTAAAAGTTTTAAAACACACAAAACTATAAATTAAAAACAAAATTTTTAAATTGATTACTCAGTTTGATCAAAAACCTGTGCTAGGAGCTCGATGTCTACTTGAGTTTGCATCTCGTATTAAAAAAGATGCGAGACATTTTTGATTCCAGAATTGCATTAAGAAGATTCTGTTTCGAACAAGCGCACCAAAATTGCATACAAGCACACAATGCTCGGAGTTTGTCAAAACTTTCAAGCAGCAAGGCTTTTTCCTTGTTGGTGTACGCTACTACTAGCTGTGTAAGTTTAACTTGTTTCATTTGGGCTTTGCTTGATGCACAAAATAACCAGTCAGTTATGTTATGACCACTCTGAAAATGTCAAGAATTCCTCAGAAAGAGCCCTAATATCTTTTCATCAAAACAGGAGTAGATTTTTTGGACCATTCTTCATTTGAAATAGAAATTAATCCAGGAAATCTTTTTGGAAATCATGCAAAAAGGTCTCGAAAAGAACAACATTGAAGCCAAACAAGCAATCAAGGAAATCAAAGTAGTCTCATCTTATGGACTACAGTTTGATGGGGCATGATGGGAGCAATTAATCGACGACGCGAAATCCACTATCTTCATAATTCTTGGATCTAAAATATTACGATGTAACTCTAACCCGGAATAATTTTTTGAATTTCATTGAACAACCACCCGGAGTTTTTCCCGCTCCACTACCACTCCGCTTCGAAAACTGGTCTCAATAACAATTACTAAACCATTTCTGGCAGAGATCACGTATGGAATATTTACCAATAGTTTTGTTCGAAGCAAACCGGAGCCTCGCAGCACAGCCGCTACAAAAAAGATGTAGAGTGGATCTTGAAATATCTGGAGCCGCAAAGATTTTGGCATTTAGGACGTTGATCACGGCGTGCGGACATTTTTTGATAGTCCCGCTAGCGTACTTGAAAACAGTTTTTGTTTGTTTTTTGTTTGTTTGCGACTCAAAAACTTTCCCGCTCTTTAATAAATAATTAGTTAAGTCAAAAAAAGGTTCTGAAAAAATTACTGCAATTTGTAATTTGCAAACGTGAAATTTGAATTGAGTAATCTTGAAACTTATTTGAATAGAAAGATTTCAAAATGTTTCATCAAATCTACCTGCTGTATTGATTACGACTCCAATTCTTTGCTGTCGATTTCAATAAATCTTTTGTACACACAAAATCATTGAAGCATTATTTGTCTCATTAGGCGTCTGCTTCAGAAACTCCAGCTAATCTTTAGTAGAGTTTGCATCAGCTCCAATGTAAATGATAATTAATTTATCAGAAACGGTAATTCATGCAGTTAAACCAAATTTCAGCTCAGTCTAAACAGTTAGTTTTGCAGCTAAATCTGCGTAAGGTAAGAACTTTTCAGCACTCTTGTTTTTAGCATTTTTTTGCTACCCGGGAATGGCCAACCGGTTTTTCTTGTGAGCTATCAAACATTACTTTTAAAGATAAGGTGCAAAAAAGACTAAATTCATAGTACAAATCATAATAATAGTTTTATTTTCAAGCTAGAAACTCATAACTAAACTGTGTAAATTGTGGGTTTACAATTTATTTAGGCTTGGAAGAACACCAAAATGGCATGATGCAGTCCCGTGACTTCCCCATGATTAAAAATCCGGCGGAGTCTGAGCCAACACAGAATCAATGTCTTCAGGGCCATGTCTCTCGGGACACTTTTCATGCGCCTCTCCCAAAAATCTGTTCACAATAGAACCCCTAATCACCCCTTTCCTCTTCTTCATTTCTTTGGCCCACCTCTGAAGATTACTATAGCTCTCTGCGTCTAGAAATTTAGCCGCATTAGGGCCATACACATTACCCAACGCTATGTCCCCATAATAACCCAACGCGGCGATATCTGCAATTGTGAACTCGTCACCAGCAACGAATTTGTTGTTCGCAAGCTGTTTGTCCAACACATCCATTTGGCGTTTGGTTTCCATAGCGAATCGGTCTATAGGGTACTTCAACTTTTCAGGCGCGTAATGCCAGAAATGTCCGAAGCCTCCCCCTACAAGAGGGCTGGCCCCGTGAGCCCAAAATAACCAGTTCAAAGTTTCGGTTCTCTTAGCCGGCACCGTCGGGATAAACCGACCATACTTTTCAGCAAGATACAACAAAATATGACTCGATTCAAACACGCGTTGAGGAGGGGTAACGGAGTGATCAAGGAGACAGGGAATTTTTCCATTAGGATTGACAGCTGTGAAGCCTGAAGTGAATTGATCTCCTTGATGAATTTTAATCAGATGCGCATCATACTCCGCTTCCTTGACGCCGGCATCTAGAAGCTCTTCCAACATTATACTTGCATTCTGGCCCCTGGGAGTAGCCAAGGAGTATAACTGGATAGGATGTTTTCCTACTGGTAACTCCTTCTCAGTTCTGGCTCCAGAGGTGGGCAAATTTAGACTGGCCACTGAAGAGATTTGTCCTAAATCGGCCATAGTCCATACTTCAGGTGGTACGTAAGGTTCGCCCATTTTAAAGACAGTTCTGAAATGAATGAAAGATTGGCTAGCTCGAATTAAAATGAGTTTCAGCCTATGGTCTGATTATACGGCCGAACTCGAAAATGCTACGTGTTATCTTCATCGAACGTATTTAAATGATCAATAGCATTTTACATGCGTATCTACGAGTAATTGTTAGAAAGCATAGAAAGCAAATCGCAAAAGATTCGACGCAAGTTTCAACTTCTATATAAAACGAAATACCTTTTTTCAAAGTTACTCTGGTCAACGTTTACTTAGGGCACAGATAAATTACGGCGTCACGCTGGGTTACATAACAGATCACAAAAGTGAGCTAGCTCGTTTCTGGACAGGGAGCGGACCAACAGCAAATTTAATTATAAATTCAAAAAGCTCTGCTAACCTATTAAAAGTTAACCTATTTTTATTAAAAAAAAACATAACCCAACGTTTTTTGCAGGTTTTCATTCGTTTTTCGTCAGAATTTTCTAACAGTCCGCCAGTCTGCGCTTCAGATAAATGAAACTTTTTTCGAATTTACAAGATGATACCGCGGATCAGGGGCGGATCTAGGGTTTTCTCCAGGAGGGGGCGGATTTTCAAAAAATTTTCGAAAATTTTGACCTTTTTTTAGGTCGACCAAATTGATTTTCGAAGCTATCCTCAAGCACTAAAAAGACGCTGTTTTGGCTAAAATTTTCTGCAAAAAAAACAGGTCAAAAAAGCCGTATTTGGGTTCTGGGCAATTTTCGTTTTTTGGCTCGAGTTCTCCCTCAAAGTTAGTATGTATTGGCGCCGAAGAAAAAATTTAGGGTCCGTCACCGAAAATGGATTTCTTAAAAAAGACCAAAGGGTCGGCCTTTGGGTCGTTAGGGGTCGAACTCCTGAAAAGAAAAAGCGTCAATAACCCCCCCTCCCCCCCCCCCCCCCCCCCCAAATCCGGCCCTGCCGCGGTTAATAAATTTTGGAAGGATATTTCATCACAAAAAAAAACACAAACGATATTATTACCCTGCTTTGAAACAATATAAATTGGTTGCAACAGCCTACTTGGTTCAAGAATTCAGTACAAGAAAACTCGGGATTTGGGAACTAATCTGAAAAACATGAGCAAACAAACTAAAGTTCATCAAGTCAGTTTCTCCAGGAAGAAAATTTTTGATTTCAACCATACTGAAACAACAATAATGTCCGGCAGGGACTCGAATTGCAGACTTTGCTGGGAAACTTCTGCTTGGCGATGACTTAACCTATAGACCAAGTTGGAAGGAGGCTCGAAGTTGTTTAGCTTCAGCAATGAGCAAGTTCAATTTCTTATAGATTTGTAGGGAAAAATTAATTCCCAAGTGCAGTCTGAGCTTACGGTCGTTTTAGTTATTCCGCCCATAATTGATAAGCTCTATATTCTATGTACTAGAAAAACTGATTAATAAATGGTCGTTTAGATGATTATTTCGATGATCTGCACTCAAGTTAATATGTGTGTAAGATAGCTTACAATGACGCAGTAAAATTTTCTCTTGTGCATCACTAAGTTTTTTCAATTGATAGTTCAATAATCTTATTTTGTTTAATCCAAATTGAGTATAATGAACCCACGCCGAGCGTTTATGGATCATAATTAATTATATTGTCTATAAAATTACAATATAAACGATTATAATCCATTAAAAGTGGATTATAATCCTAATTATTTTTATGCCAATGAAATCCATTACAATCGATTATAATCGACTATAATGAATTTTTTGCATGAGGTTATTTCTGAAATTTATAAGTGTTTTCAAAGTTATCTCATATCCTGTTTAGTGCAGTTGCTACGTATTACGTTTCATAAAACGTTGAATTTCACATTAAATTTTTATATTTCTTTATCTCTACTTTTTCAATTCATTGCAATACTTTAACAGTTCATTTCACTGTTTTTTAACTAAATCCGCTTTTTGCAGGGAAAATTGGTTAAGGTTTGAACGGCGTTAGGGAGGGGAGGGGAATTTTTTATTGAAAACTCCACATTTTACTCCCAACCCCCCAGTTTACCCCCCCCCCCCCCCCCAATACAGTTTAGCACTCCCCCCAGTTTAACCCCCACCTCCCTCCCAATTAATCCCAACCGCCATCCCCCTGAATGATTGACAGACCACTTTTGGGGGATGTAAAAAAGCTTGAGAGGGTGAGTTTGAGATATGGTAATTAGTAAAAGTCATGGCATACATTTTGCAAATTTTTTTTGCTATATTTGCAAAATTTCTGCAAAAAAAATCGAATTTAGTTCTAAAAATAAAATTGATTATAATCAATTATAATGGTTTTTATTTCAAAAATAATCGATTATGAAGGATTATTTTGGCGAAAATAATCGATTTCAGCGCCAAAAATAATGGATTATAATCAATTGTAATGGATTTTTTTTTTCAAAAACAATCAATTATAGTGGCAATATAATTGAATTGGTGGTCTGAACATGACATCTATAATGTAATATAAGGGATTATTTTTGTCTCAGTAATCCTTTATAATCAATTAGAACCCATGGGCGCTTAGTGCGGGAAGTTTTTTTTACGTCTAGAAAAAGGAACCCTTAATAAACTTTTGCGAGAAACATAACTATAACTGAAAAAGTTCCAGGGCTACTGATCATGTGACTTAGCAGCAATCACAAGATTCAGTTTCTACAGAATTGCAGTTTTTCGAGTTTTTCTGATAAAAAGCATAAAAATGATACATAGGCATAAAAACGGATTTTCTTCGAAAAAACGAAGTGACATATTTTCACAAAAAGGCGGAGCGGAGCTTCAAAACTTTTGCAATGCAACGCAAAAAAAGCATTGCCAGATGGCGAAAAATAAGGTGGAAATCATTATTACATCGAAAAAAGAGTAAGATAAGTAGCTTAAGAAAAGAAGCTAAAACTATATTCATTTTCTGCATTTTAATTGAAAGTTAAACAAAAAATCTTCATAAAAAGACCTCTAATATTATGTTAAGAAGATGTTAAGAACTATCAGAACAAAATCAAAACTGAGCAAAATTAGCCATCAAAAATGAGCATACAATCAATAATTTATACTAAGCAAAACTTGTCGAGAGTTAATCCTGATCTTTCAAGGAGAGCGAAATTCAAAAAAATATATATTTCTTGGGAACAAAAAACAACAACATTAACCCCAATGCCAAAAGATCTTGATGACAGACGATTATGGTCTCTTGTGTTTATTGGATTTCTTGCCAAAAATAAACCATTAGGTCACATAGTGATCTGGTTCAATCAACGTTTTTGATGGTCTACTTGCACTGGAGCTTCATGGATCAAAATCGATTTTATTGGATTTTTGGCCGTCTATCTACAATTCAAAAAAAGCGATTTTATTCAAATAAATTTGGATTATAATTTAATTTTTGTCAAACCAATAAAAGCCAATTGAATCGATTATGATGAATTGTAGTAGATTATCATCCGTTTTTTTTCTTTCTTTTTTCTGAAAAACTTTAACACTGCAAAGTTTTCAAAATCTTTACTCTCCTTGATCCAATTTTACGTCCTATGCCATCCCTCCAGCATATGCTACCACCCGCGCTTACACCACTCCCATCCATTTACACCCCCTCCCCTGCGGACACCTCGCTTACATTCCCAGTTTAGGATATTAGGATAGGGGCAGTGGTGGTGGTCTGAGAGTGTGTGTAGTAAACGCGGAAGATAGGGGTGGGTTAGGGTGAATAGTAATAGCAGGGTAAGGGGGCGGGTTGCATATTGTACTGGCTTCATCGGTTTTTAAGCAAGTACAGCAGTTGGCCAGGTTAAGTTTAGAGTTACTTAGACACACGGTTACTTAGTCGCAGCAGTGCAAGTAAATAAACTCGGAGTTTTTTGAGCGACAGTTTTTTAGCTAGCTTTTAGGATTATGATGGTTGTTCTTTGAATTTTTAGCCATAATAAACTCGCAATGAAGCCTCTAGTGTTATATTGTATGAATTAATGATGTCCGTTTACAGATTTAAGAAGGTAAACTTAGCCTATTTTTCACAAAGTATTCGTGTGTGCAAGCGGTTGTTACTATGGTTAAATTGAAATTTTGTGATCAGTTCAGCGTCGAAAAATTGGATTTGGAAGCTCTATTTTGACTTCAAATTTAATTAAAAACATTCCAGCGTCAAAACGAAAGCCGAAGCATTACAGTATTTAAACAAATGTTCATCAAAATAGCGAAAACCTACTCCGTAGGACAAAATCAACTCAGTTGCACCATCTTTGAATTTTAATTATTTTTGCTGTAGGCAGTTTTCATTGTTGTTGCTTTTTATGTTTTCATTTACTCCTGTAATTTGTAGTTCTACTAGCCTAGACTTATTTCTTTTTGCTTGGAAGTTTTTTCAGTGTAAATGATTTCGGCTTATATTTTATCGACTTGCTCACCTAATTTTGGGTCGTTCGAGGGAACAATAATTTGTATGCTTTCCTCCGGATTCCGCAAACTGAAAACTTCAGAATTTGTAGTTCTAAATTTTTCATGACAACAATTTTGTTTTCACTCAAAAAATGTTTTTGAATATTCTTTAAACGCCGTCGAATTTGTTTCTGGACGTGTTTTTTTTTGCAAATAGAACATCGTTCCAGACAACAATTTGAAGTTTTTTAGTTGTGATTTCTTCAAAAAGTTTCCCCGTTATTTTTGGACTTAGTGGCTCTCTTCTCCTTTCCCGTCTGCTAGCTTGCAATACTACTTTTGTGGTACTACCGCTTCCCTTCTGTGTCTATACGTGCCACAACTGATCGGCCACCATTTTTAATCGGTTTTCGTTTAGTTTTGGGAAAGTCGAGTTTCAAAAACAACTGAACCATTTTACCGGAGTATGTTTCGTCCTGGGTTGTAGTAACTAGTTTTTCACAGATAATGTAACCAGAAAAATTTTCGGTCAAAATGGTCATTTTTTGGACGTACGTTTTTTTGAGCATCTCCAAATTTTTTTCCCCGCATTTACTTTTTGTCAACTAGCGATAAAATACAACGCAATTAGGCACACTTTTTTCTCAATAATCCGCTTTTCTCGCAAAACCTTATCGAAATTTTATTAATGCAAACGTGGTCTAATAAAGGAATAAAACTAGTTGCTGGCAAACTTTGTTCTATTCAAAACCGATCACAATTGGATAGCTATTAGACAGGTATACAAAAAAAGTTGATTTGCTTGTTCGACAAATGTGGGTCCCAATTGTCATACTTGCATTCAGGGGAATTTTGATTTCAATAAAGCAACGCATGTGTTTTTCATGTCACTTTTCCAAGTTCAATTTTAAAATTTCTGGTCCAAGTTTTGCTTTATTTTGTTAAAAAAATCTGAGAAAAAACACGGTAACTTACAAAAAAAAGAGCAAAAAAATTGAAAGAACTCGGTGACGTGCGCAGATTTTTTTTCTAGGGGTGGGGCGGTTTTTGGAAAACTTCGTTTTTTTTAGGTTGACCAACTTGATTTTTTCGAGCTCTCTCAAAGGGGACACTATCGTATAAGCACCCTATTTTCATTTTCTGCGTGGCAGGAAATTTTTTTAAAAAACAAGCCTAAGGCGCCTTTAAAAAATTTTGAGGTTGTTCAGCGAAAAATGGACGATGGAGCCTTTGGAAAATTTTGGCAACCAGAATTGAGGAGGGGGGGAGGGGTGGGGGGTCGATTCTTCCCCTCGGCACGCTATTGAGTAAACTTTAACAGAGGGTGAAACTGCTCATTAAAAAGACATTTCGAAACGGTAAACGATATTTTAAACTCCAAGCAAAAACCGTTAACAAGTAAGTTAATGTATCAAGAAAAACCTGATTTAAACACAAAATTTACGGAAACTACAGGGTTCGAACATAAACCTCACGCCCAAGAGTCACTCGTCTCAGCCACTTAGCCAAGGCCTCTAAGATTTTGGCAGTTGCTTGCACATTTTTTTCCGATTTCAAGCAGCAAGGAATGCACTCTAAATCGCCCCGTTGTATTTCCGCAAATTTCCAATCGGCCGCGCTATCTACTGGATTTTTTTACCTATTTGCATATATTTGCTGCTTGTTGAGGCCCGTTTGTTTGCTTTTTGGTTGTTTGAGGACGAATGGGGCTCGGCTAAAACCAGACTCCTCCCTTCCCAAAAAGAAAATTCAGGTTCGTCCGCTTGCGCGTCTTGAAATCCTTCTCTTCTTGGTGCGATGTTTTTTTTTGCTGTAACACTCATCATCGTATTGATATCGTCTCAAAGAAAAAACTTCTCAAAAAAAAGCTAAATAGAAACAAGTGAAAGATAACTTCGCATCAATTTAAAACTAACCCGCATCAAAGCCGAAAAAGCAATGTTTTTATTTAAAAACTCAATAACAAGTGAGTAAAAATAATGAGACCGCTAAGTCGACGAACTTTGAAGATAAACATATTAAGCAAAAAAATGAAGAAAAAAACGACAGAAAAACTGAAACTAGGGTAGCCGGTTACTGTGCAAGTAGCACAAAATGTTCTGACCAGTCTTTAAAAAAAGTTTTTTATTTAATTTATTGTCTTTTCTTCCGGCGTCGAGTGATCAAAAGAGCTGAACGGAAAACTGGAGATTGGCTGTAATCGACAACCATATTGAAAGAAGCAAATAGAAAAACAATTTTAGTCGAAAAATTTTTAGAAAAACAAAAATCAGAAAAACTAAAAAAAAAACAAGAAAAACAAAAGAAATCAAAATCAGTTTTTTTTAATTAAAAAAAAATTATTCCAAAAAGGCGCAAAAAAACTCAAACTAACTAAGGTTACCCATGTAAAACTAAATTTGTACGTTTTAAATTCAGCTATTGTAAGCTTTTCAGCAATTGAAAAAAGTCTGCTCGCTTGCTTTATTCGCGCGAAATAAAACAAAAATCAAAAATTTCAAATCGGTTTTTCTTGAACTGGAAATTTTTTCATATGGTTCGAATCACGACTGAAAAGGCTTTAATATGATGTATCACTCAACCTAGTGTGATGATTATTCGTGGTACAGGATTTTTCTTGGGAAACAAAAAAAACCGAAGCTAGCAAACAAAAAAAATAAAAAAAGAGCCACTATTGGCGAAAAAAGCAAGTGGAAAATTGTAAAAACTTCAAATTCTTCTCTCGAAGATATTGGCTCTGAAGAAAACCGGTTCTACTCCATACTCGCTGGCATTTAATAATTTTAAAGAAACATTTGTCATGCAGCAACTAAGCCAAGATAATTTGGGTAAACGCCTATTAAGTCAAAACAAAACTCATAAATAATAACATAGCCAATCGAAGATTGGAAAAGAGTAATGAACGCAAGTAAACATAGAGAAAACTCTGATTTTCTTGAAAAAATCTCAACTGTCGAATAAAATAGATGCCATTTAAGCTCTTTGAATTTTTAAAACAATTTATGATTGGCGCTTTTTTGATAACATGAACCCAAAAGAGAAAACTCGATCACTAAGTGAAGTTTTTGTTCCGCTGGAAATCTAAAAATTAAATTTCACTTTCAAAACTAGAAATAGTTCACGATTTTTTGCGCCATTTCTACGGTCGTATTTGGAGAGTCCTATTTACGTCATTTTCCGCAGATTAACTTCAATTGAACTCAAAAACTGCAAACATACCTAAGTGCATTCATAAATTCGTCAATATAAATGAATGCACATCAATAGTTATTAGAGACTTTTAAGACTTTTCCTGAAAAAGAAACGAAAATTTTTCTCCCCACCTGGAAACACAAAACATAATAATCTGTTTCTTTCAACGCAAAAATAGGTCACTAAGCCGATGTAACATAATCTGGAACCATATGAACCGAATGAAGCTTTTGAGAGAAAAAAATATTCGAAGTCAAGGGTTAGAAGATTTAAAAATTACAGGAACAAATCAAAAAGACTTTCAACAAGGAAGTAGTTCAGAGCACAGAAAAGTCCAAGATATGGCAATAAGCCATCAGAGCGTAGACAATTAAACAATGGATCGATAATATGACAACTTTTTTTAAAACCGGAAAATTTCAATTTAGATATGACCAAAGATCTTTGCTGTCCCAGGCTTGTTCATTACCTCTTGGGAAGCTAAAAAATTTGAAAAGATATCTCAAAGTATCAAATGAATCAAGTTGTTTGTTCCACAAGCTGACCTGAAAAAAAAAAGTTTTTTTTTTTCAATACGATAACTCTTGCTAGGCGCAAGCATAATAAAACATTTCGGCGAAGTAGGCCGAGACATTGCAATGACCGCGTTCGGTTGTTCGATAAATATGACTAAATAATAAAAGCACATTTACACGACCCCGCGAAAATTAGGGACGGAAAATAACGAGGAAACAAAAAGAGCTGCAGTAGCCGAATCTCCCCGGAAAAATATTTTTGCCAACTTTACTGCAGCACTCGAAGAAAAATTCCTGCTACGGCACCTCAAACGCACCGAATAATTTTGTTATTGTTAAAATCTCTTCTAGCTACGCCCATTTTACATTAACTTTTCTCAGATCATGTCATTCATCTGAACCGCAGGGGAATGAAATACTTCACAGACTGAGATCTCCACCCTACTTTAGGCAACTCGAAGTCAGTCCAACGAGGGTCCACTAATGCTTCAATTTAAAGCCCGATCTTGAGTCGAATTGCACTAAAATCTGAACAAATCTTTTGAAGCCAAATATCTAGTTAAATACCCTAACACCTCAAAAATTATAATTTTCCTCAATGTTTAGTTGCTTTACTTAGAATACTGTCACCTGAGCATTATGTACTGCTTGCGCAGCGTCACACTATTCTTTTTGCATTATATTTATTAGTCCATATTAGTTCTTCGTCTGAATTAAACATCTGCCCTAAAAAAAAAGAAAAGCTTCTGCAGACCAGCGTTTTCATTCTTAGGACGATTTTAATGTGAGCATGTTTCAGACGTTTTCAGAGTAAACCATGCATTAAATTATCATCTACAACTCCAATAAACTATCCTTCACATTTAATAGAACTGTAAGGTAATCAGTAATTACAACGCTCCCAGTAAGTATAAGTTAGGTACATAATTGATATTCCTTTAACGATTATAATTCATTCAACATAATCAATTATTATATTTTTTTATTTGAGATGTTCCAGCAAGCGTAATTGCTAAAGTTTTTCAAAAATGGATTATGTAATTCACCTAATAAACTAAATTTAAACACTACGGTAATTAACCAAAATTAAGCAAGTTTTAAAACAGTCCAAGAAACTGAGAATCAGCACAGTTTGTTCCTATTCCATCGTTTCTTTCCTGTCATCTGGGAATGGAGAGAGTAGGGAGCGATTCTCACGTAGCCTCCCTGGCCCATGATCCACATGATCAAGTTCACCCTCCTGCCACCTGTTATGGGCAGTGCCGCGTGTCTGTGCTGACCTTCAAAGAATAACATAAGTCAACGACGTCCCAGAGGGTTCAATAAGAAGACTAACTGAGTTAGATTCAGCTTAGCAGTAATTATAAATCTGTCCCTTGTATTTACTTTAATCAGAACTTATGTTGTAAGCTAATAAATATATTTAAAAAATTGATGTTGTAAGCTAAAAAATACATAGAAAATTAAAACGCGTGTCGATATTCTTGTGCATCGCTGACCTTTATGCAAAATGGAGAGTCCGGGTCTCATTTTGACCTCGCCTTGACCTTTGCTTCTATCAAATTGATACTCAGTCACTTCATCTTTCAGAAAGAGTAGATTTCCATCAGTAAAGTTGTCATATCCGAGACACACGTTCAAAGTGGCGACACTCGAATCACGATGTTCCTTTAGTTCTACGTCGAAATCCGAGCTCTCGGAAGAATCTTGAACCGCAGCAATATATCAATGGTTGCAAAAATCTATGCGCAAGGAAAAACAAGGACAGCCGGTTACTGTGCGAGTAGAGTAGCACAGAATGCTACTCAAAAAAGCTAACTTTAGTCGAGTAAAACTAAGTATTTACCGCTTAAGTAAAGCAATTGCAAGCTTTAAAGCTAATAAAATTAACTATTGTAAGCCTGCTTACTCACTCGAAATCACGACTGAAAGTGCTTTAATATGATATATCACTTAACCAAGTCCGATGATTATTTGTGGTACCTGATTTAGCGTGGAAAACCAAGAAAAAAAACTAAAACACCCGAATACAAAGTTTCTCCCCATTTTCAATGTCGGAACAAAGATATTGTTAAGGCAGTGGGCTCATAATTCTCGAGAATATTGCAACTTGCTTAAATAATACTTAAAATCAAAATTTCAACGAAAAATATCATAAGCCCGTTCTCGAAAAAAAACCTGCTTTCGAAGCTCGACAAAACATTTGGAAATATCTTTAAACCTTAGGCAAATTATTCAATGAAGGGTGAAAAATGGCAAATTAATCAATGAGCGGTGAAAAATGGCAATTATATTCTACAATTGACTATGCGGCAATAATTGATCTATTAGCTGCTGTTCCCTTTTTGATAGTCGACTATGAAGGCGTAGTTCTCATCCGCATCCTCATCTGATATGTAGTCTGGGTAGAGCATCTGCACAATTGGAGAGATGTACTCACGGGACAAAGCATCAAAGACAGACTGGAAGCCAATCTCACCTAGAAATCAGCCGCTGGTATTACAAGCCAATATGCAAGCACGTTTCTCGTCCTTGCTTAAAAGTTCTTTCGTTATAATTTTTGATTTTCGTTTAGATAATTGATTACCAAGAAACTATTAAATGCGCGTTTGCAGAGTGAAAAACATGGATCAGTTACAAAAGTATTACTTGAGCATATTAGATCCCAATTTAATAGAACCCCTCTTTTGGTTGCTTTTGAAGACTCACCTAGAATGGCACCATATCTGTTCATGCCATTTGGACGTCTAATCGGAATCCCACTGCTAGACAAATGCTCCAGCTCCTCTAGAAACAGTTTCAGAAACTTCTCCGTGAACAGGCCGCTGAAACATCTTTTGATGAAAATGTTAATTCCAATTACAAGACACGTGGCTTCATTTTTTAAACACCCAAGGCACTCTCAGTGCGAATTTGAGGAACTTGCTGACTTGCATTCTCATACTAGATCCGCGCCTGATAACAAATCCTCTTTTTCCTTTCCCCCAACCTTTTCCCTTTGTTTAATGCAACAGAAATAATAACGACTATGAGACCATAGCTAGAAAATCAAATTTATCAAAAAATTTTTTCATAATTGAGTAGTGACGAGATAATTTTTTTAAAAGATTATCATTGTAATCGAATGAATCGAAATAGGGCTTTAGACAAAAACACGATTGATGCCCTCAGCTTTCCTTGAGCCATCATAAATTGAGAGGACAAAATCACACACCATAGACCCTTTATTCCTTTCTGAACAATAACACAAGAGCCGCCAAGTGAAAATTGCAAAGATGATGAAATTGTAGACCTTAAAACCTCAAGTCGATAGTCATAGTCAATGGACAGTTGAAAATTTGTTCAGAAAAAACTGATTGTTTTAAAATACTTTTCAAATTTGACTTTCAAAAATAAATATATCATTGAAAAATCTTTAAAGTTCAATAAAACTTTATGACTGGCTTTTTGATAACCCTTTTTTAATTTCAGACATTACAATCAATGTCTTTTACACTATTTGTTATCGGAGAACGAAATGTGCTTTTAAATTAAAAAAAAACAAATCCCACGACTTAAATTATTTAAATATAACCGTTAGTTAGTGTTAGAAGTTAAATGTGGGGTGCTTGAGACGCTATGCATGAGTGGTACGCTTGGAGTTGACTGTAGTGCGAGTAATTAGATTTTTTGAATTGGTTGTTCAGGAGTTTGGGTTATTGGTGATTCTGAGACCAGTATGACCAATAAAAAGCTGTGGTGGTTTTTAAGATTGGGCAGTTTACTGCATTTAAAATGGATTCACCCGCAAATGTGACACCACACATTTGGTTGGTTTAGTTTAATGACTTGGTTACACGGGGAGCAGTAAAAGGGGCCGGCTGCAAGGCGGTAAATCTGTACATCAAAACTCAATGTTCATTAAGACTCAAGAAAACTTTTCAATCAACTAACACTCAATAATCCAGGCGCCAATATATACTTGTTTTGGACGGGAGTGCGCGGCAAAAAACGGAAATTTTGGACGAGGATGCGGAAGCTATCGACTCACATGGGGGTCTTCTCCCGCAGACACTCCCCTATGGCTCAAATGTAAGCTGAAGTGGAAAAACTCTTTGGACCTAAAAATAGCTTAAGTATCCATGGAAAAAAAAACAATAATTTATTTCCGAAAATGTTATCGACTTTTTTTTTAAATCGAACGAATTGATTTCAAACTTTCCCCAGTTCACTTTCAAAAACGCTTAATATCAAGCGCAACTTATAACCTCCCAATTTTATCTGAAATCGTACGTAGAATCTCAATCACTGCATTTTTTCATAGATTTACTCCCCCTTCCAGAAAAACCACACCTATTTGTGAATCAATTTTTTGAAACAAACTAAATTTCGAAACATTTTCCGAGAGCCACGAGTTAAACTGTTTTATTGAAAACAGCGACAGGAGTAACTTCGTGTTTACTCTAATCTAAATAACTTTTAAAAACCATCCACACGAAAGGCGTAATTGAAGCAATCCCACTCCCAACTCCAACTGCGATCACCTAATCAACCCACGACCAAGGAACTGCTACCCAGTCAATGATTAGCGCACCTATGATCTGATCACAGCCCATTTTTCAATACCCACAGCAACATACACCACTCGATATTTCATTGACCTATATTAAACTTCATATTTTTAACTGCTTTAAAAACTGGATTGTAATTAGTTCAATAGACCAGTGGTTTTGCCGGGACGAAGGTGCCAAGTTTCTAATACAAGTGACCAGCAGCTCATTTTGTGAAGCAATTTTTTTTCAAACGATTGATTAACTTTTATAATCCCTTGAAAAACTGTTGAAAGCAAAATTAGAGCCAGCTACCAGCAGTTGAGCAATGCAAAAAAATCAACTGTCTTACTTTGAAATTTCATACACGCCCTTGACATCCTTCGACTCGGGGAGAAGCATCCATAATTCACTTTCATCTAAACTTTCTTCAAAATTTCCGGCTGCTTCTCGGAGGAGTTCAAATGTCTTCCGCAGTTCCGGGTTTATGAAGCTATCTTTGAAGTTCTGATCATATGAGTAGATCTCAGGATGCAATTTGGGCAACTCGTTCCAAGCTTCGGTAAAAAGCGATTCGTATTTTTGCCAAAAATCTCTCCCTTCAAACTCTCCATTTACTTTCAACTTCCGAGAAGGTAGTTCCAATTTACCAACTTCGATTGCACGCTGCAACGCGCTTTTGGCACCAGAATCACATGCACCGTCTTCCATTGTACAAAACTCATTGGCTTTCAGATTTCCAATAGTGAGAGTCACAGGTAAAATAAAACCGTAAGTCAAAGCAACAAAATTAGTCAGTCTTGAACTTTTGAGTGTGCGCTTTAACATCGGAAATTAGCGACAGGCGTATTGAATTGCATAGCCGGTATCTGTAAGACTTGAATATCCCACCATCGAAAAAAATTTCAAGGTAATTATCGAGCTCATACCTATTGCGAGTTCAATATTTTGAGAACAATTGAATAGCTTTCCTCTTTATAACAAGATTGATAAAAAGGTAGAAAAATAGATATTATATACTTTATAAAATGGTCTATTAAAAGCGAACTGAAACTTGAATTGAAAAACTATTGAGCACAAAGATGAAATCGAAATTTTTTAAATGCGAAACAAATTATGAACAATTCCCAATCCTAATACTCTTGACAATGATCTTAATTTGTGTAACGACCGCTGTGTACTTAACTAGTAATATACAATCTAATGCACTCAAAACACGTCTGTATAAAATTTAAATTCTCTTTCTAAGTTAGTTCCAATTGTTTGTTAAAACATGCTCAACATGTCTACATTTGATTAGTATTAAAAACTACTTGTTTTAACTGTTCTCGTTAACAGCAGATTCAGCTGTCAGACTCTTATCGCTCACTCCATCGATCCAATGCTGTTGTCTGCAAACTCGGAGGGTATTTCCCATTTCTCACATACCCTCCCTCCCCATACATCCACAAGATCAAGTTCACCCGATGGCCACTGGTGATCGGCAGCGCCGCATGCATATGTCCCCCTTTGTGCAATATCGACAGACCAGGGGTCATTTTGATCTCTCCGTCGCCTTTCGAGTCATCATAAGACTGACAATTCGGACAGCAATGCGTTTGATTATCGCCCCAGAATTTCAGGTTTCCGTCTGTGAATTTGTAGCCCAGACATACGTTCAAGGTCGCCAAACTGGAGTCGCGATGGCGCTTCAAATCGACGTCGAAGTCCTTCGAAGGGTCCTTTCGGTAGTCGACGGTGAACGGATAGTTGTCGCATGTATCCCCGCGCGCAATGTATTCTGGGTAGATCATCTCCATTATTGGCGAAATGAAGTCGCGGCAAAACTGGTCAAATACAGCCTTCATCCCAATTTGGGCTAAAATGAAGATTCAAAATAATATACAAAAAAGGGTGATATGTTAATGTTACAATAAGAAGTAATTTTGAGTACAGTACATGTATTAAATATGACAACTATGATGCAGAACAAGCCATTTCATTTTCAATCAATTGTACATGCTACTAAGATTGTTTAAGTAAATACATTAATCAAAATACATAACTCAAACACTAAAAAAATAAGACATAACAATCCAAAAACTGAGAAAAAGATGAACTACTCTCAGATTACTTAGTGCCAGAACCATCCTAGAAAACAAATTGAAAAGCAAACAAAACTTGACCACAGAAATGAAACAGAGCTTCGCAACCTTAGCGAAGCCGCACAACCATAGCAAGCTAGCAGTTTCACTGTAGAAAATATGCTCTTTCTTTTTTTTCTATCTTTGACCTTTCTAAAGAAAGAAAGAAAGAATTTATTAACAATGAGAAATACATTCTTTCTTTAAAAAGGTCAAAGATAGAAAAAATGAAAAGAGAACGTAAAACTAGAAAAAATATATGTAAAGGAAACCAATCCCAAATTGGAGATTCAGAATCACACGTCTTAGCTTCTGCACTACGGTCGCTTGAAAACCGTAAAACACAAGTCACTATGAACCAAATACAAATGTATAATTATATGCGATATAATGAGCTTAATGCGAAAATCCCGACAAAAAAATCAGCACTTACATTTGCTAATTGAACCCAATACAAAGATATAATTCTATGCGACTTAATGAGATAAATGCGAAAATCCCGACAAAAAAAATTAGCCCTTTCATTTGCTACTTGAATTGGAAAAATGCGGACTTCGTTATATGATACTGAATTCACATTTTCGCTTCTAAGAAAAACGAGCGAAAGTCACTCAGTCGTAAAAAATGAAAAAACAACAAAAAACCACATTTAAAAAAATTATAATTTCTCTCGAATGGTGATTGTTATAGCAAAACTAATTTACAATAATACAACATTTCAAGTTTTTTCAAGTTTCTTTGTTTATTTCAGTAAGAACAATGTTTCTATCAAAATGCGTTTTAAATGGACATTCGTCAAAATTTAAGGTTGAACTACTACAAAAAACTACAAGAGTGGTGGACAGATGACGTTCATGGATATTTTATTAGTTTTAAATAGTTGTATAGAAAAACAGAAACTTTTATAATTTTGTTAAAAAGATAGGGAGGAGATTACAGAAAAGAAGAGTACTGCCAGACTCGTCAATGTTTTTATTTAGAAATGCTAACTCGGATTGAGTGGTTGATCAGTAAAAAACAAAACAACGGAAGAGCCTATGAAACAAAAACTGAAGATAAGGAACATCATTTCGATTACTGTTTTGAATTTGATACAAATACAAAATCTAGATTTGTCAGAACATCTTTTATTATATTATCCAAATTTAATAGACTTCCGGTTGTTTATACTACAATATACCAAAAAGAAAACGATTAAAATGTAAATTCTGGTAATTTCTTTTTTTTTCGCTGGTTAGAAGTAGAAAAAATCAAAAAAAAATTTTGATCGAAATTTCAAAATTTGATCTGAGTATCGAAAAAATAATATTAAACCGAAAAACTATCGAAAAAATAACAAATAATAGTTACGTTGGAAAACTTTTCAGTAAAATTTATTGATTGGAAAGTTTCATAAACATAATTTTGTTCTGATTCAAAAAAAATTTTAAAATCTGTGAATACTTCATTCTGATTGGTTAATACCACCAAGATTACCTGAGAAGGAAAGCTCGATTCTGATTCGTTGATATCAAAAAAGATAAAAATTTCCTTATAAGTAATGCTCGATTCTGATTGGTTGATATCAGAACTTTTGAATAACTCAATGGTTAAATTAGATTATTTTTTCCAGTTTGGCCAAAAAGGATGTTATCCATTCTGATTTTCTTTCACGTTAAAAACAATTTGTTAAGAAACTTACATAATTGTTTTTTTTTAAACTATTATTCATTTTAAAATTTGGAACATTCTAAATCTCCCATTCATTCTGAAGTTCTTTTTTGTACTTATTGAGATTCCGTCACTGAATTCAAACGAAAGAGTTGCATGTCTTTGTGTGGCAGACAAAACACTCATAAAGATGCGTCAAGACATCGTAGAGCCTGCGGTGTTTTGAAGTGTTCGAACTGTAACTTTTATACCTATAGCAGCGAGCAACTCACTAATCATATCACGAAGAAGCATTCTTCTTGTCAACATAGCATAATGTTAAATATGGAACAGACGCTCAGCAGTCTCCAAAGACACTTCATGAGAAGGTAAAATTAATACTTTTTAATTAAAAACAGAAATTGCTATGAATAATAATTTTTTCTGAATCTGAAAAGTCTATACAACTGTTATAAATTTGAAAAACTCTAGTAAAACTTATTCAGTTTTTTCATCACAATTATTGATGTGTCTTTTATTTTTTAATTCAAATGTTCTTATTGATGATAAAACCAACAACAATCGAGTTTAAATTGTCGCGAAACTTTCAATGGAAATCGATCCGAAAATCTTTAATCTACAGTAAAAACACCATTGGTTGCAAGCTTGCGGAGATTTTGTTGCAATAAATTTGTAGTACAAACGCATTAGATTCGCTAATGAGTGGTTAAGTATTTGTTAAAAAGTTGTAAAAAAATTGGTTATTTAGGAAACATCGACTAATTGAAAGGTTTTGCCTAGCTACCATTTTAAAGTTTTCCTTGTTTAGTGCTTGTAAAGTGTTCATAGAGTAGTGCGTTTTTAAGCAGAAAAAGTAAGTTTTAAGCAGCTAATAACTCAATTCAATTCATTAGGAGTTTAGAGATAATTTTACTAAAATTTAGCTTAAAAGAAACATCTTGAGAAAAAATCCAACAAAAAGTCTCAAAAATTTATATTTATGTGTAAATTATTGAAAAATTTGTTATCAACGATATATTAGAAAAAAATATATGAAAATTCAGATGTTTTGAGGATAATTTTTGTGAAGGTAGCCCAACTTTGCAAAAAATGCAAAAAAAAACAGAAAGTTATGATACAGAGATTTTGCAACTTTTCTCCAAAAACTTTAAATTTTTGCATTTTTCCCAATACTCAAAGATTTTACAATTTTTCCCAAAAATTTGAGTTTTTTTAAAATTTCAGACGGGTTGGAGAACTATATATAACCTGCTTCCGAAAAACATCATTCCACAATCTACACACAATTAACCATTGATATTTACCAATTAGATAACGCGCGCCAAGGGTTTTGCAAAAAAAACTAGACATTTCCACAAAATCCAAAAAATATCGTTTTTCTTACCATACTCTTACCATCACATAAACCATGAAACCTTACCAATTCTATTCCCTGTCATAATACAATGTAGACTCTATACCCAATGTTAATACATCATAGCTGTGTGACTGGATTTGATGCTCTATTTCCTATCTTAAAACATAGGGGTCAACACCCCCCCCCCCTGACCAGCCCCAACATCTACTACTACTTTTTTGAATGATCTTTTTATGATTTTTTTTTGTGCCATCGTTTTCTTTTTTAGTGTTCCTTCAAAGGATCGCATCCAAAAATTAGCCAATATTTTTGGATGCGATCCTGAGGATGCGCATATGGCTAACCCAACCACCCAGATACTTTTTTTGGTCATCAGATAAGTTAATAAGAGGACACTTAGTCGATATAAAATATGCCGAAACCTATTGGGCTGCAAAAAAAAAAGAAATTAAGCTGCAAAAAAAAAAGAATTTCCAACAAACCGAGTTGGCAAAATTATAATTGCCATAAAATGCATATTTCGATTCAACCGCATATTTAGTGCTCAAAAGCGGTCTGTTGCAACAAAAAGACCCAGCATATTAATGAGTCAAGGATCCAGGAGATGAGATCTGAAGAAAACTAGGTCCGGAAAAAAGCCTAGTTCACGATTGCAATATTCTTGATTAAACTAATTCCAGCTGAGCCAAGTGGCAACTAAGCCGACAAAACATAAGCAGACAAACAAAAGTCCGACAATTTGATTTTTCCCGGAAGCTTTTTTAATAACTTCATACATACTGAAAAATCAGGGCCTGGGACTCGAACCCCAGATCTTGGGTTAGAGAAAACCGCGTTAAATCTAGGCAATGAGGGAAGCAGTCTCGAAGTTGCTAAGGTTCGCTTATAGAGTGACTTCAATTTCTTCTTCAGGTGTTAGAAAGTTGTTTACAGGGAAAAAGTCTAGTTCCCGATTACAAATACTTGCTTTAGCAACTGTATTTCTAAATTGAGCTATCAAGTGATTTTTAAACAAAAAAAAACTATATTCTGATTTGATGATGCTGGCTAAGCACAAGTGTAATAAATGGGATATGAGAGCTTTTTGATTTATTTCAATAGTAATTTAATTATTTCTAGTTCTGCTATAAAAACACTAGATATTGCATGTGTAATAAATATAACTTGCAAAGACAAAGTCTTGAGCTCGTTTGCAGTAAAAAAAAAATCGCATAAAAAATAACTTACCCAAAATACACCCATATCTGTTCATGCTATTGGGTCTTCTCATTGGTATCCCACTTTGCTCAACGTGTTCTAATTCCTCGAGAAGCAAAGTTCGAAACTCATCAGTGAACACTCCGCTGAAATATTGGTTACAGTAATAATTTTTGTAGTAGCAATTTCAATGGGGGAAATACTTTCAAAAATTGCATTTAATCGCTTCAAATATAACGGCAGCTGAGAAAAACTTGAACAGTCAAACTAACTTATTGAGTTCATAGACACCCTTCACGTCTTTAGACTCAGTGAGAAGATTCTTAACAGGTGTTTCATCAACATCTTCGTTACATACTTTTGCCGCTTCCCGTAGAGCTTTCACAGCTGCTCTCAATTGCGGTTCAATAAACTTTTCCTTAAAACTTTCATTGTACGTAAACAGCGCTGGATGTAAGTGTGGAAACTCAGCCCATGCTTGATCTAGAAGATCAGCATACTTGATCCAAAACTCTCGCCCTTCGTGGAGTCCATTAACTTTGAGTGTTTTAGCAGGCAACTCTCTTTGACCAAGTTCAATTGCCAGCTCAATCGCACTTTTACCCTTACTTTTATCCCCACAGTCCATTTTCGTAATATAATCAAGAAGACCAGATGTTAACTGAAAAAATTTCCATCATTCTTGGACATCGGCACGACTTTTAAACTAACTCCAGCACAGATTGAGGCTATGGTAGTAATAATTACAAATAATTACAGGCGAAGCGGAGCTTCGCATCACTTGCGTTACAACCCAAGCACAGCATTACAAGCTCGTGAATATAAAATGAGACCGAACTAATATAAACGAAAAAAATATAATTTGGAAAAAATGAAAAATATCAGAAAAATTGCCAAATAAGACAACAAACATGCGGTCGGTGTGCAGCTTCTAATGTTAATAGTATGGAAGATTCTGGATATCTGTCGATAATCAAATACTCAAATTCGTAAAAATTTCAGCAGTTTACAAAATCGTATGTTCAAGTTGTTCTGCCTGCTATGTTGGCCAGACTGTTCGCCACTTGGAGTGCAGTCAAAAAAGTGACAATCTTTAATACATACCGGTCAAAAAGTAGACAAAGATTATATTAACCAATCAAAATCATAGAACAAAAAGCAAACTTATTCATATCCTAAGTTTGCTTCCTGTAGTCGATTATAATTGATTATAATATTTCTCATGATGGTGTTTGGCTTAAAGAATGAACATTTTAATTGCAAAAAGATAATTAATATTATTAAGCAAGCTTAAGTCACACAACTTTTCTGGATTATATATTTATTTACAAAATAATAAAATAATGGTTAGAATTTTATCAAATAAATTTAAATTAATTTAACACTGAAATTATAGTCTATGTATGACATGGCTAAAAGTTAACTAACTGACATGTCAGAAATTTGATTGGTCAAAAAGTTTTAGAGCATTTTTAGACATGTTTCTCATTTTTCAGATCTTTGATCGTTTAGTAACAATTGTAAATTTTTTTAATCCTGATGTACCGCTTTTTGTTCATAATGTCAGCAGTGTTTGAGTTAAAATGGCGATGATTGTAGCTGCAAGCTCCTTTTTATCACAGCCTGATTGATCTTGCGCTGGAGGAACGGAGAGAGACGCAGCAGAAGGTCTACGCAGTCCCCGGCCTTTCATTGAACCCAAATACCTTGAACGGGGGGAAACCAAAAGAAACGTTATTAAAAGGGCGGTTCAAAGGGTTTTCAGAAGTATCTCAACATGGGAAAATTTTGACCAGGCATTGGAAAAAAATCGGAAACAATGGATTGAAAATCAATATCCAAAAAATTGGTCGGACAGGGTAGTGTTTGAAACTTGTGACATTCGACCAGAATGGACCAAAATGCAGATTCAGCAGATTAACAGCGAACCTTCCGAATTGACGGTTTTAAGTGATTAACAACGTTATTGGGACAATTAGTCAAATGCTGAAGGTCAAGATATTCTGGTATTTTGAAATTTTAAAAATTCGAAGGATGACGTCATATTCCTGAGAAACGTCAGAAACGGCCACTTTGGCAGAAAACCGGAAGAAAAACACAACAACATTAGTTGAGATAGCGTTAACAACGGAGATTGTGATTGAGAGACAACAACAAATTGCAGAAATAGCAGAGACTGCTCCGAGTTGCAACTATTGTGTCGCTACAATAGTTGCAAGGCCGTTGCGAACGGTGAAGGGTGGAAAACCAGCCTTCCGGAAGGAGAATAAGAGCCTTTTTTCCCCGGATTCAGGAATCCGGAGGGGTCTCGGGACTGGAACTTTTATTAACTTATATAAACTTTTAGCTTCCCTATTATGTCCTGAGTTGAAATTAATTAACATCTGAATTCATTTTGCTAGGATGAGAAGCTAGGAGTTGGGGGAAAGGGTTGATCCATCTTCGATGGAGATGATGATTTTTATCTACTGAACAAAAACAATAATACTTCAATAAATAGTAGTAGCACTGATTTTAGGAGTGACCTCGTGGTCTGGGGATACTGAGACCCAGCCATGAGCTCACTATTTCTGCATGTAATTAAGTTAATTTGAGTGTTTTGACCGAAGCCGAAAGCAGTAACGTTTTTGTCGACCCGATGTTAGAAAAACCACCGAAAGTACTGGCTTGGTAGAGACGGTTAAAAACATGTACAGCTCTGTTTAGACGTTAGCCAGTCGTATTAGGACTAAGTTTTATTTTCCGTCGATATGTATCTTCCGGGCGAATGTTACATAGATGTTTTTATGGCGCTCCTGGGTGTTATTCTTTTTTAACATCATGACCGGCAGAACCGTTGACGAGCACTCCGCGCCCAGCGGATGCTCACATTAACGCCCTTAAAAGGCCAAAACCGCCGGGGCGGAAGTGTAGTTCGGAACGCGGAAGCCTTCGGGATTACCGTGAATAGCTTTTTAACCTAGTTAAGACCGAAAATTCACGAATCAGGAAGGGTGGGGGGATTCGCGGTCCCGTCATCTCCTGAATGATCCGTGACCAAAAACACATAAAGATATATATAAAATCAAACAAAAAGTAGTATAGTACCCAAGAAAAACAAAAAACATAAAAAAATAACCGAAAAAACCAAAAAAAAAAAAGAAGTAAAAAATCAGTAGAAATCATCCCCCCAGACAAGATGTGATCCGACCCTCCCGTTTGTTGTTGATAGATATATTGTTGTTACAGGCATTTATATCAGTCAGAATTGTCACGATCAATTTTGTAGCCCGTTTGTGAGGCTTGTACTGTAGGGTTATTTGAGCATTTAAGCACGTTAATGATAAATTGCGCTCAATCCGGAAGGGTCAGCTGATTTGCGCTCAATTCGGAAGGGTCTTGGGAGAAGACTGATCCGGCAAGCAGTACAAGGAGCAACAAAAGGGGCTCAACGACAACAACAATTGACTGTTGGGTATCGTAAACAAGTTTTGTATCCCTTTTGGTACAAAAATTAAGATATTAATCTGTGGGGGGCTCGACAGTGCTGCACTGTAGTGACCCTTCACAGAACTGCGAATATCCGAGTTAAGCACCTTAATTCGGATATTGAACGAACCCGGAGGGGTATAGTATTACTAATATTATTGCTTATATAGCCTATATTAATACTCCTATACCGTTTTTCAGTGAAAAACTCAGAAAGCAGACCGGTTTTTAGGGTCAAAATAGCGATATTTTGATCCCCCCACAAGTCGCGATTTTTGAGATATCGATATTTTTTTGAAACGGAAAAAAGCGCTAAAGTAGTGTGATACATCGTAACTGCACTACTATAATAAATAGAACCGGTTAATTTTAGTTCGGAAGTGGTTGGAACTATTTTTGTACCGAAAACCGAATTTTCGCGATTTTTGAGAAAACGAAACACTATAAATTCAGAAAATTTTTAGAAATTTTTGAGTTACACCAGTAAAAATAGTTGTTCGGACAACGTCCACTAGTGAATCTACAAGTTTAAAAACCCGCTTCCCGAAAGCCTTCCGGGTTGCAGAGAAATCGAACTTAACGTGTTTGATTTGGTGGATTCAGCAATCCGGAGGGGTACAGGTAGCATAGTTTTTCGCAAATTTTTTCAACTAAAGCGTTTTAGATCGGGTCTTTTGCCTTGAACTAGAAGAGTATAGGCCTTCTGAGCTCGGATCAATAATTTTCAGGTCGAAAAGAACAGAATTGTGGAAAAAGTTAGGCGATACCTATAAGAGAGAAATTTCTTGACTTTAGAAAAAAGACGTTTTGGTTAATAACTTTGGAACTACTGGGCATATCCAGTTGATCTTGTTACCAATAGATCAGAAATTAGCTGAGCTTATTGATAGGGACAAAAGTTTTTCGAAAAAATAAGCGTGAAAATTTTTTGAGATTGTTTTTAGCAAATTCACCAATTTGGGAGGGTAGACCCTTCACGTTTTATAAATTTTTTTTAGGAAAGCCCTTACACCCCTACCAAAAGGTAACAGCGGTTGAATAGAGTAATTTTAGGCTGTCCTAGACGAAAAGGGAAGGCTAAAGGCATAGGAAAACCTTAATCGAGCCGAAGTTAGGCTAGCGATAAGACCCTTCACCGTTAGCGTGAATTGTCAAATAAGAGGCTTAACTTCAATCCGGAAGGGTCTAGGATAGCATTACATACCCTTCCTAGTTAATTGAAAAAGCAAAATAGCATCGGGGAACGTATCCGGAGGGGTATAGGTTGAAAGAAGGAAATCTCCGGAAAACTACATTTACAAAACCAGAGGGCTCCCAATCCGGAGGGGTCCAAAATTTTTCAAATTCGGAGGGGTCCCAATCCGGAGGGGTCTTGTTTTCACAAAACCGGAGGGTTCCCAATCCGGAGGGGTCTAAATTTTTGCCAATCCGGAAGGGTCCTATTTTTGCCAATCCGGAGGGATATATTTTTTTTATTTATTAAAGGACTTAGGTAAACAGAAGAAAGACTACAGTGAGAGGTATTAGGTTATTAGCAGACAGGCTAGGAATCAGTGACTGCACTGGTAACTTGTCTTTCTATAAAAACCAGACCAAGACAAAACAGGTCCGAACTCGGATATTCGCTACACTAAGTCTAAACTAAAAAGAGCGTAATACATTGGTGTAGATTGAAACCCAATACGTTTTTTTGAAAAGTGACTGCCCTGAGGATTTTAGTAGGTCTAGCTCGGGCAGTCCGAAGGCAGATAGGTAACACAGTACTCGATGGGTGCAATAGACGCCCACTTGAGAAAATTACTGCCTTGAAAGTTTTGTCTGTTTGGTGCAGCACCAAGCAGGGAAAGCTTTTACTAAAAAAAAAACGAGTTCGACTATTGTACTGCGACCGACTAAAAGTATAATACACATACGTTTTTTTATAGAAATATTCATATTCTGTCATTATATATTTTTTTGTTTTTGATTTTAAATCAACATAAATTGTGCTTGATTAGGTAGTGAGTACACTATCTTTTAAATTGACTGATAACATCATATTGTGCTAGTTCTCAAATCTTACGAACGATAATCGGTTAGTGTGAATAAATTATATACAAACTGTAGTCTGATAACATACAGAGATTCGTGGTCACTATTTAATAGAATCTTGTGAAATTTATTGTGTTGTGTCATTATTATTGATAGTCAAACTATAAATTCACTAGCAATCGAATTGGGTGTAT